GCCCGCCCCGCCTGGGCTGCGTTGAGGTCCAGTGGGCGCCGAGTTGCGGGGATCCCAATGGGCAGAGCGGGGGGACAAACCTCTAGCTCTTTTTCAGGAGGGCGGCCTCCCCCTCTGCCTCCGGCGTCATGCAATTGGCCCTGGGGACCCGCGGGGAGCCCCATTGTCCATCATGTTGGGTACAGGTGTGGGGCTCTCCTGGGTGCAAGCTGGGGACTGGGCATTAGTACAACCCACATGCCTGCTGGGTGTGGTTCGTGGGCAGAGCGGGGGGACAAACCTCTAGCTCTTTTTCAGGAGGGCGGCCTCCCCCTCTGCCTCCGGCGTCATGCAATTGGCCCTGGGGACCCGCGGGGAGCCCCATTGTCCATCATGTTGGGTACAGGTGTGGGGCTCTCCTGGGTGCAAGCTGGGGACTGGGCATTAGTACAACCCACATGCCTGCTGGGTGTGGTTCGCTGGTGTAGTGGCACTTAGACTACTTACAGAGAGAATAATGAGTTTCCTCTATTAAGGGTATGTGACTAGTTGTTTCTCTCCCCCTGCCCTCTATCAGAGAGAGGCAGAAAAGGGGGGGAAGCAGGAGCTGGTGCTGGGGAGAGCCATCTTAAAAGCTGATCCCCCCCCCCCCCAGCACCATCTGGAGAGGGCAGGAGGGGAGGCAAAGGTGCAGCAAGGAAACTCTGCAAGCAGGGACTGCTGCTGATGGTCCTGACTGCTCCATCTTTGAAATGTACAAGAGCCCTAGGCACTCTTGTACATTTCAAAGGCAGCTGTGTAGCAGGATAGGGAGTGCCTGACTAATGGAGCAGTGGATGGAAATTCTATCAACTGACTTTTCTGTGGGTCAGTGGCCCTCAACCCAAAAAAAGGTTCCCCTCCCCTTTTGAGATTCCTGTAGTAAGCTCCACAAGTCCCATGTTTGGTTCTGTCACTGTTACATTAGGACTCATATGCTTTGTTCCCTTTTCTGGTTGGCAGTGAATCTACCAGACACTTGGAGCCTGGACTCCTGGGCTGCATCTAGACTGACAAGTTTTTCTGCTTTTGCGGAAAAATTTGCCAGCTGTCTATACTGGCTGCTTGAATTTCCGCAAGAACACTGACGATCTCATGTAAGGTTCAGTGTTCTTGCGGGAATACAATGCTGCTCCCATTCAGGCAAAAGCCCTCTTGCGCAAATGCTTTTGCGCAAGAGGGCCCATGTAGACAACGCAGTATTGTTTAGCGCAAAAAAGCCCCAATGGCGAAAATAGCGATCGGGGCTTTCTTGCGCAAAACTGCGTCTAGATTGGCACAGACGCTTTTCCGCAAAAAGTGCTTTTGCGGAAAAGCGTCCGTGCCAATCTAGACACTCTTTTCTCCAAATGCTTTTAACAGAAAAACTTTTCCGTTAAAAGCATTTGCGGAAAATCATGCCAGTCTAGACATAGCCCTGGATTCTTTTCCTGGTTCTGAGGAGGAGATGTTGGGGGGACAGAGCTGGAGCCAGGAATCTAGGGCTATATTTTCCCTGGGTTATCATGTCTCCCTGTATTACCTGGGCTTCTCTCTGTCAGCATCTCATTAACTCATGATAGGATTTTACTTGAATTTCCTGTTAAATTGTTTGAATAGGTTTTGTTAGAAAAATGTTAATAGCCTGTAGTTGAACCATTTTCCAAGGGTCACAAGGAAGTCTCATTAAATCTCATTTCCAGCTCTTTATTTCTATGTGGTTCTTTATTAGCAAATAAATTAATGCGTTGCTTGGGAAACATTAAGGTCTGGTGGAACCAGCAATCAATTTGGAATCAGACCTGGTAGACTCTTAATACATTTAAAAAGGAGAAGCACAGTGAGGGAAGGGGGGGGCAGTGTGAGCCAGGAATAAGCTTTGCCAGCTTGGGTGGAGGGGTCTACTGTTGTGCATCAGCCTTTTAAATGTATTAAGAACCTCCTGGCTCTTAATACATTTAAAAGGCTGTGTACAGCACTGGGGACTCAGGGCGAGTCAGGACAGCTGGGCTCATGCCAGTCCCCACAGTCCTTCTGCCCCCCATGGAGACCAAGTGCTGAGGGGAACCAGCTTTTAAGCCAGCTCCCCACAGCACTGGCTCTTGCTGCCTCTAATAGAGGAGGAGGGTCTAGTTGCTTATATCCCTAACAGGGGTGGCTTAGATAATGATTAGTCTTGCCTCATGTAAAGGATTGGATTAAATAACTTCTTTATTTCCCTTCCTGCCCTATGTTTCTATGATTCTGTTAAAATATACAAAGTAAATATCCTTAAATTGAGCTGTAGTAAGTTCTCAAGCAACATTTTTCTTCCTTTGGATATTTATAAAATTCATTATTGATGGAAATATTTTTTAATTGGTGTGTGTATATGTTGAAAGTGATGTTTACTGACATTACCACCAAAGATCCAGTCCTTCCAAGCCTATTTATATTGTAATCCAACTCTAGACAATTACTACATTATCACACAAATAGAGGCTAGAGTTTGAGAATCTTTATACAAGCTGAATTTCCTCAGAATATTAGAATTAGGAAAAAAAAAGTTCTAAATGTTGATTTGACAAGACCCTAGGTTTAGAATTTTTTTTCTAAACGCAGTCCAGGGATTACCTATTCATTCCTTTCTTTAAAGATAGAACATCAGATTAGGGACTCAGTCTAAGTATTTATACATCTACTTAACTTTATGCATTGTGTGTTGTCCCCATGTAGCAACCACATATGATTGCTAGTTCACCTGCCTATGAGCTATAGCTAAGATTTATAAATGCAGAAATAAAAATGTGGTGTTTAATAACTTTGTTCCTTTTAAAGTTTAAAAATGCTGCTGGTGGTAGTAGTAGCAGACAGTAATTTATAGTGTGATATGCCTTGTCTTTTATGTGAGAATGCTTTATGTACTTCAGAATGCTTTTTTGACATAAATATCACCCAGGTGCTGTAGATTGAGGAACTTGCAATACAGAGAAGATAGGTTACTTGTCCAAAATAAAAAAAGTGAATTATTAACAGTTAGTAGCCTGGAGTTCTCCTTACCCCACTGGTTAATACTTCTTTTGTGTACTCTTACAAGCATACACAAGCAAAGAATAAATTACAAAGACACCAGCAAATGAAAATATATATGAGGCTCATCCTGTACACAAGTCTCCTATGCTGCCATCAAATGCATGAATACACCAGTCTGTCCAGGACATGAAGTGAAAGTGTGATCTAATGGTTTCTTTGTGTGTCCCAAAGTCACTTGTACCTCTCTGACAGATTGCGCGCTCTCTCTCTCTCTCTCTCTCTCTAGATATATATACACACACACACACACGGCTTGACAAATCACTGAATCTATCGTCACAGGCGAGTAGATTTCAGCCGGTCGCCCCGTTCACCAGCAGCACATGCATGCGCAGTGCGGGGCTGGCAAGTAGGTTTCGCTGCCGTTTGTCAAGCCGTGTGTGTGTGTGTGTGTGTGTGTGATTTGTCAAGCCGTGTGTGTGTGTGTGTGTGTGTGTGTGTGTGTATATATATATATAAATTAGTGGTGTAAAGTTAAATCAAAATAGCTTGAACTCTCACAACTTTTATGTTTTCATGATTGTATTTTAAGGTTTGACTCAGCTGTGTAAAACATTGTACTTTTTAAAGAAATGCTCTGATTAAATTTAAAAAAAAGAATTAAATATGTGGGGTGTTTTTGTTTTGTTTTTTAAAGGCTTCAAGTTTCTGCCCGCCAGCATGTTCTTGCAATGATTGGATTGGTCCTCCTGACAGACATTCAAATCTCCGACCAATAATATTTCATATTCCTAAAAATGAATCACCATTAGAACGAAAACTTAGAGAATTTAGACAGGAAACTCAAATTTGGAATCAACTGTTCTGGGCAAGTCAGAATATGTCATTCAGAAAGGTGAGCATGTTGATACTAGGCCACTTAGTGGTGGTGCTGTGTTTACTTAAGAACTTGTGGTGTAAATAGCTGATAAAAACATTATTCTCCTTGTCTGGGTGAAAGGTTTTTCACAATTGCATTGTATAGTGACCTTGAACTGTGATAGTTTTGAATTATATAG